CGTATACACTTTGAATCCGGTATTTTCAGTATTGAGCTTGCAATCAGCAGTTCCTGATTTTGATTTCAGCCAGCCAAATAGGCGTACAATATTCTTCTCAACTGATGGTGTCACTATCATCGTTTTTTTCATTTGGTATAGCTCAGCGATAAAGGCTGATGATACAGGAGTGGTACGAACTACTTCTGTTGCTCTCTGATTGTGCGCATTAGGACTCACTACAACTGAGACCTAATCAACTACAAATCAAAGCACTGGAACTTTTTCATACTCCTATGACTCTGCATGCCACGGAGCTCAACTCTCACATACTCCGTAATACAACGGAGCTCGCACTCGCCGCTGCACTAGGGAAGAAATATTGTAGATTTGTAGGAAAGTACTATAGGCAGTAACCACATAGTAACACAAGGAATTAATTTACTATTTATTCCTGGATTATGTGAGTGCACCTTTAGTTCGATAGCTTAAAATTCAGGTTAGCTATCAATAACTGCCAGATTCGCTTGTGACCGATGAATAGGAGTTTCGGAGTGTGCACAATTTTGTACTCAAGAGGTAGTGCCACTAGTATCGCTTCACTTCCTTAGCTGCGAAAACCTCATTGCTACATATTTTATAAATAGTTTGGGGACATAAAGCAACGGATACAAGATTACATGCATAATATCTGAATACATTAAGAACATACTTATGCCCCTAAACTTTAAAACTTAAAATTAATTCGAGCTAAGGAAAACATTACGGCTAAGGAGAACATGCGCAATGGTAGGTTTATGAATAGAGAGACTCACTTCACCAGACTTATGACACAAGGTATCTTCACATAATTTTTGCCAAATAATTAATGATTTGAGACAGTTCCAAATGAAATATAGAGCGCCACGAGTGTTGTTCTCCTAAGCGATAGCTATATAACAGAATCATTTGCTCTGAATTACTAATGTGTTTAATTCATATGAGATATCAAAGGTACCGATTACCTACCACATTAAAACGTTGGATCTAGGGTTATGTGAAGGCCTATTGGAGTATGGGCTACTTTGAATTAACGAACTGTGCGTCTGCGTCTCCTCATGCAAAGCAATAATTTTCCTAAAGTCAATTTTCAATCAGAAATTTCCACTTAATATACCTGCATCCGATCTTCTGTGCATGGTACACTACCATAAAGTAATATGTTACAAACTTCCACGACAATAATAATAACAATAATACATTTTGTTAACTTTACCTACAGCATGCAGTTAGACTATTGATGTTTGTGATTATCTTCTATACGGAAGTCAATAAACTGTAAACATAAACTGAATTTAATAATTTTAGATTTTTCTGCAGACAATTCATTAATTGATACTTTTTGTAATCAAATTTTTCTTCTTACCAAACTTAAACAAAAATGTTTGGGGTCGAAATGATTACTAAAAATCTTCTAGGTCGACGAAATATCCAACCAAAAGTCTTTTAGTCAAAGTCACACTTTATCACTAGATCGAAGTTAGGTTTATTTCAAAAATTGTCTTTGAAATATTTTTTAACCAAATAGTAAGAAAAGAAATAGTAATTTGCACTGAAAACTAGGTACAGTATAAGGTAGGTAAGACTTAAAGTTAGCGAGCGCAATTCGTAAATTTGACCTAAGGCAGCGAGCGCAATTCCTATACACTCAAACGAATGCATATCCGAATTTCCCTATTTTTTTGCCTTAGGTCGAGTTTATGTATAAAGCATCAAAGTAGAGCTTGCATTGCGTGTTTAAGTGAAAGAAGCGAAAAAGAATTGACTTTTAAAACGCTTCGATTTTTTTGGCTTTTTGATTTTCAGCCATCCATTATTGATGCCCTTGTGATTATGCAAATGTAATATTAATGTAAATAACACCATGTAATGAATTTGTGAAGGTGGTGCACATAGAGAACTAGTAAACAATGCGCATAGCATGTGGCGTCTTTAAGTGTTTATATTTTAGACGTGAAGATAATGTAATGTAAATGTATCATAAGGTAAATGCAATATAAATGTAAATAGCACCATTTAATGAACCTAATACGTAAATGCATACGAAAGCAGTGTATATGATATAAATGTCTTAAATTTGTATGTAATGCATGTAAAATGTATCCAAATGTACTTAAATTTTCAATGTAATCTCTGTTCACAAACTCTGTAAAATGTACATCGAAATGTATCATTATGCCCTTTTTTGGCCTCGTATTGCAACTAATTATTGTTCAATAAATACTGGGCACGGGAGACAGGAGAAGAGTGAATTTCCGGATGGACGCTTTGGTCGGCTGGACTTCCATCCGGATGGATCCGGCGTTGGATTTGGGCGCTCGATGCGAGGCATTGGTGTGACCCCACACTCTGGCCAAACTCTAGATAAAGGTTGACGTGGCGCTATACCAATTAACCAATTGACAGAGGGATGGTGCCCACGTCCTCCGTTGCATGTCGCATGCCCTTATGATTTCTTCGAATTCGGTTTAGGTATGACTTCAAATTGTAGTGTAAGTGCGCTTTTGTTGATGCACATCAATAGCATGTATAGACAGATGTTATTCAAAATGTTTAAATTGTCATATTCTGGTTAGAAAATTTTAAGTACCTGTAAATATGTCATATTCTGGTTAGGAAATTTTAAGTTCCTTTAAATAACCTCTGTGTTTTACGTAGTAATAATCCTTTACATATTATCACTGATTATTTGAAGTAATATAGTAACTTAATAGCACTGCAATGAGTTAATTTAACATCAGACAATGGGGTGATAAATACTACATTAGTAAATAAAATGTTAAGGTATTAAATAAAATTGGTTCTAAAAAATTCATTTCTATAGCTACACGGAAATATAAAACAGAGAAGGGGAGGCGGCTGTTTCTTTAATGAAAATCAAACAGCCTTCTTTAAAACAAGCCGCTCTTGAGGGGAAAACAGCAAATGCAATTTGAACCATTTCCACACGTCTGGGTGTAACTCTGAAATTGCACGTTTTAAAAAATTTAATTATTTACTAAAATTATAATACCAAGTTCCGAAATCGCTTGTTTCATGCATGTTGTTGCATCATTTCTTCACAGTTCATTGTCTAAGTATCTGTTTTTGTTTAATTACATATTTATTTCTATTTTTAGTGTCCATTTGTTTTATTTATGTCTTATTATCTCTAATTTATTCTGGTACTTACGTATTATCCAGTCGACCACTGATAAAAATTTCGACAACGGTCGCCAATCGTCAGTCGTTACTGCGGAATTCTAAAGAATACTGTCATCTATAACTCGCGCTATATCACGTTAATTGGCCGGTCGACAGGATAATACGTTAATGTAATGTTTATTTTAATTTGTTTATTTGGTTGTAATTTTACACATATTTCTTTTGAACTTTATATTAGCTTTTTTTGTGTGTAGTTACTGTATCTTTATGTTTTTAAACAGTTCATTAATTTATAGATTATATCATTCTGTACAACACTGTATAAATTTTGCAGGTAGCAGTAGCAGAAACTGATATATCACTTGATAACGTCTGCTGATATTTGGCGATATATTTTGCAGCCAAATGCAGAGGTTTTGTCAAATTTAGCGGTATTTCGGGATGTTTTAGATATGGCCTTTTATGGATACAAAAGCATTTTGAAAGGAGTTTCCAAAAAATTCTTGTAATTGCCCCAGTTCTTCGGTACGTTGCAGAGCGATAAAAGAGAGGACTCAGAAGCTACAAATTTAAGCAGTTCTAGTCTGCATTCTACGGCTCACTAGTGGCTGAGCGATGAAATCGGTGAACATTGGAAGTTCAGTCTGTGGTAAAAATCCTGGCCAACGGGCTTACTGTATAGGCGTTTTTGTGGTTTCCTCATCTGTAATGTGTTTAAATCGTAAGCTCCAATTTCTCTTAGAAGGTTCTCCACAAAGACATATCTTCCCTTAGGCACATAGCCCTCAAGTGCTTTTCCATAATTAAATAAACTAAACCAACCAAAAAGCACACCAGGCGTTCTAGAAATTCACTTAATTCAAAATTGCACTTCAACTTTAAGTTCAAGTATTGCTGAGTTTCAGACCCTGTTTAAGGCCTTAAATTAACAATTCTTTTGAGCTGTGTAGTGAATTTTCTACAATAAATAACCCTGTTTTAAACTTAATCCGCGAGATTTAACTTGTTATTAGGATTTGAGCACTATTTTTATGTTATTCAAGCGATCTTTAAATGTTTTCATCACCACTACTAGGAATCAGTTCAATTTTCCTTTTTATTCAGCCTGTTTATTTGAGAAATCTATATGAATTGTCAAATATGTAATTGTTTTGGTTTATTTGATTATGGAAAAGCATTCGTGGGCTATCTGCCTAAGAGGAGGAATGCTTTCGTGGAGGAATTTCTAAGGAACTGGGTAGTATGCACGTTACACAAAGGAAAGCACGAAAACGCCCATGCAGCTAGCCCGTTCACTGGGATTCGAATACAGGAACGAGCCGTGGTGAGCGAAATATGTAACAGTAGTATTAAACAGTTTTCTTAATTCTCTTCATGTGGGAACCATTTTAAATAATGTGCTGTAATTTTGTTCGGCTAGAAAGAAATATACTTATTTTCCCACAAGTAATTGTTATAGGAAGTTCTTGTTTGTAATCACGTATGAGCTGATAATAAGAAATATTATTCTTTCTCCATTTATTTATTAATAATCCTTTAGAAACTTCGAGAATTATTATTCTTATATAGTGCAACCTGTATTATCAAAAATGGAATATCCTTTTAGACAAACAGATCAAAATTAGTGCATCAGATTAGTAAACACTAATTTTGATGAACATTTCATTAATTAGTAATTAGTAACTAATAAAATTAGGAATTATCAAAATACCTGAATAGTATAATTTTCCTATACAACTAAATTTATCGTTTCGTTTCTGTTACTCATTTACTTGTTTAGATCTATACGTTTTTCTTCGAATTTTTTTTGTGTTGATTTTATGACATAGCTCACTTACCTGCACTACAGGGCAGCAAACACCGAGGACAATTAAGTTCTGCATGCATACTGATCTTCGAAGCCGGTTCAAATCCAGAACCAATTGCGGGCATCGAGCTATTGCAGTGCAGTATCCAGGTGCTCTGTCCGGCGTGACGCATGGTCTTGCTTGAAAAAGAACTGAAAAGAGGCATAAATGAAGTTATTAAATGTTTATTAACTGGCTATTCATTTAAATCATGTTTATGTACCAGTTATAAGCAAAAAGACATATTTAGGATCAGATACACGTATTTCCAAACTAATTCTACCTGACTATATGCACTGAATTGTTACTATTTGTGCATCTAATGATACTTTACCAACAATGTTCCTTTTAAACCGCTTTTTGTTTACATTTTTTTGTGAGATTTATTTGTTTTGACCAGATTTACGCAAGGGCAACGTAGCTTGTGCCCCTGTACTTCGTTTTCAGCGAGCCTTCCTTGAAATATCCTTTCACAGTATTTAAAATATGTAAAATTTTAAATATTTTTTCCCATTTTCAGTTTCATACGAGTATATATAAAATTTAAAGCAATAATAAAATTTTTAGTTTCCTATTTCAGTTTTTAATGGATTTCTTAAAAATCAGAGTGGACTATTATCTTGTACTTTCCCCTGGTGACTGATACTGCTTAGTAAATCCTCAATTTATTTATACTAACGCTGAACTGTCGAGCCAGTCTCTGGCTATTGTGTGACCGCTACATTGAAGCTGAAGATTTTACGTGAATGTGAGGATTGAATTGGATTATTTAATTATGGAAAAGCACGAGGACTATCTGTCTTAAGGGAGGGATGCCTTCGTGGAGGACATTCTAAGGAAAGCTGGGTCGTGTACACATTACACATGGGAAAAACCTCGAACACGCCCAGCGTGAATGTGAGAGTCATTTGATTATCTCAGGAATGGTCATATATTTCATTATTAAATTGATAAAGAGTTTTGTTGCATTATTTTGGTCATATATCTGTAATTTAATTAATTAAGGTTTGTGATAAAGTCAATAAGAAATCTCTGGTACCTTATATTTATCCCCAGTATTTTTAGGGGGCAGGAATTTCTGGTTTTAAAATTATAAGCTTATATTTTGTACAAGGCATAACGAACTGAAACGAAAAAACAAAAGATAAGGAAAGGGGAAGTATATTTTTAGTTTAAATAATTTTAAATGGAAAAGTAAGTTATTAGGTTATATTAGAAATATTTTACAGAATTCGCATCAGTAGTATCTACTGCAATAACATGAATTTCAGAACAAAAGAACTGTCAGAGAACTCGTCCCGAAATGTCAGCGGGCTCTGATGTTGACCTATAAGTTCATAAACATGCATTTTTAACTTTTTCCTCAAAAGATTGTATTATTGTGCTACAATTTAAAGAAGGTGCTTATATAATGTTAGAACGATTTTCACAAAGAATTTAATAAAAAATCAAATTTTTAAGACCGAAACGTTCTGCCTACATCTTTGTTATTTGAAATAAGAAATATCGTTTGCTACTCCCAAATTTATTCGTCTTTCAAAATGTCGCATGTAAACAGGCTGCTAATTGAAGAATAAATTTCTGCTCTTTCCGAAAGGAAATATTCATGTTCCATAGTTCAAAAATGTAGTGAGAAACATGGTATACAAATTTCTAAATGCGAATTAAGCAACATTTTTAAGCGGAAAGAGAGAAACTCTCATCATTGCTTACACATGAAAAGAACACTCCAAACGAATATATATATATATATATAAAGGAAAAAAAGATATATACTGTTTCTAATGTTCCTAAAGTTGTTTGTAACAAGTGAAAACACTCTAGCTCAAAAATTAATTTAAAATCTTTAAATACATGTGTAGCAACAATCGCATTGAAAAACCTTTTGCCCCTTAGGCGGCAGCAGCTTCGAAAAGGTTGAGAATCACTGGTATAACTAGATTCCTTGAAAAAAATGAAGCCTGAAGCAGGTATTGCGTATACCTTTTAAAAATGAAGCCTGAAGCAGATATTGCATATATCTTTCAAAAAGGAAGCCTGAAGCAGGTATTGCATATATTTTTTCAAAATCTCTGATGGTCTATTCTGCCTTTGGTCTCTTGAAAAGAGCTCTTTCTAAGCGCAAACCTACCATGATTCATGGACTCTGGAAAGTAGTAGAAAAGGAAAGGAAATCAGAAAATGCCATCAAATAGAACATTTATAAAGATAATGTTCAGGTTTCAAACATTAAATAAATGGATTAAAATGTGTAAACATCGTATCATTTGAATCGAAAGCGTAATTTTTTATTTTGAGTCGAATTAATACTGATTCAGTGTAGTACATGATAGATTAGATTTAGCCTAGTCAGTTGATTCGGAGGAAGGAAGAGTCTTCTTCATTAAGAAATATCACAGTTCTATATATAAAAAATATTCTATATATAAAAATATATATATATAAAAAATTCTCTATATATAATATTATATTCTCTCTATATATTTTTATATATTCTCTCTATATAAAAAATATTCGTTCATCTATACAGAGCATGTTTTGATTCACGGTAACAGCTGTTAAAAGGAAAACCTATTTGTCTTTATAAGAAAATTAAAAAATATGTCTTTGCAATAATTGTTTCTTGTTCCGGAGAAAACAATACCGGCTAAAGAAACTTCATTGGTTTTTTAATTTTAAATAAATTAGCTATTCTTATTGAAAAATTTAACTGTATTTTAATTAACTGATTTTTAATATTTAAGCTGGTAAATCTTTGAAGCACGGCTGATTACTTTAAACATTTGATGTTAAATTAATATTATTATACTTTTAGTGATTAAAAATCTAAACGTTAGAGGCTTTAAAACTTTTAAAGTTCTCGAACAAGTTAATTTAAGTAATAAATATTTACTTTTATCTGCGAGTTACATTATGACATTTTAATCCTATTTGAGAAATGCTCATGGAGCTAGCTTAGTTTTTTTGCACCGAGATTTAATGTGTTTGAATGATATTACGAACGTTAAACTTAACAGTTCATAATGAACGACTTGTTTTTATACATCAGATGTTTTTGAAAAGGGAAAAACATTCAATTTTTTTCTATTATGCACTTAATATTTTACCAAATGTATCTGCCTTAGATTACCGAGAAAATCTAATGAAAACTTTTGTCCACTTATTTTTATACGTATACAAATGCTATTTTATTAGACTGCCCTTTAAATTCATGCAGTACTGCAGTTTCGCAAAATTAAACTCGGAATATTTTTAATATTTACATGCAATAGCAAAATTATAATGTATCTAAAAAATTCTTAAGCAAGAAGTATCAAAGCATTAATGGAGGAAATATTACACCCAGATGGAAGTTAATTGATCGACAGATTACCAATGTTTGATTTAACTGAAAATGAAGCTGCATTCTTTAACGCTCCGCTTTCTCACAGGAACGCAGCTGAATGGTATAAGATTTCTTTCGTGCATCTGTTGCAAGGAAATATCTTGAAAATGATGTGAAAAATTACTTCAAAAAGCTGCATATCTAGCAATTACACGATATGGCAAATTAGGCCAGATTGCATCTCTTTTGTAGTGATAATTGATTGTTCTGTACCCACACGTCTCTTAATATTCGGAAGAAATCAGTCATAGTCGACAGATACTGCGCTTATCTGAAGACATTTGGCTCTTCCTTTTCTGAAAACCCGCGCTGAAAATTCCACGTAAATCAACCATAACTTATTTTCAAGACATGGGTATTTGTTAGATTCCCAGTGCTAAATGTTAAATTAATTTTGCTATAGAGATGTTTAGTTGTTATTGTGAAACATTTGGCCGTTAAATTCTTGATTAAGTACTCCGTGTTTTATGTTGTTAAATTGATTTGATTTCATATTCATGTATATGAATTGCCAGTTTAAGGTAAGGAAAACTGCAAGAATTAAGAATTTATTTTTTGGGATTATTCCTTACTTTCACAAACTGTAGAACATATTAATTGGCTTATTTAATTAAAGAAAAAGCTAAATATATTTTAAAGCGCTATGATTCCGAAGTAAAAGTTGAGTATAAGCTATCTAATTACTACCAAATAAATTTATCTTTTTCAGATAGAAAGTAATTTTAAAAAACTTCAACAAAAGTAAAAATGTAGAAATATTTATTTAAACATTGGATGGCATTTGAGCTTTAATATTCAGCAAAATTCAAACTAGATTTTATTGTCCCTAATAGAAATATTTCAGACATTTCAAGGAAGACTGGCACAGATTCGCATTCCTCAAGGAAGAAAGGATATTATGCATGATTTTATATGTATAGGTAAGAAAATGTAGTAAGATAAATAGATAATAAAAAATAAAACATCAACTATGATATCATTTTCCGAAACAAAACAAAAACACAGAAATAATAAGATTAAAAGTTTTCAAGATAATTTTTAAGAATTTCTGGGAAAAACTGGAGTTGGAAGTATTCAGCAGAATCTATGAATTAAGGTTGCGCCCACCAGCGATAAGATCACTAAACACTGGCAGTTCGACTTGTCTCGAATCGCAGTCGGCCATATGTCACTATGTTTCTCAAAAACTTCAACTGAGTTGCAAGTGTACCAAAGACATGAAAGTGGGCATATTGACGATATTATTTTTAAAACGGGTATTCTCTCAATAATTTATTTCTTCAAGTTAACTAGGTTGCTTTATAAAATGGAAAAATTTATTGCCTATCCTGAATTAAGAAAGAATGGAAAATTTGTGGGCAAATTGAGAACTTTGCAAATTGAGAGCTGTCTGCATGGGAGATGCTGCTGTTTCTTCCCTCTGTAAAGTTAATGTGAACCAATTTTTATCAGAAAGTCCTCCACGAAAGTATCTATCCTCTTATAGAAGTAACCTTAGAGTGCTTCGTCATTGTCTGATAATATAATACTAGTGAAACAAAACATACAGATATTTATCAACCCAAAAAAAAAAAAAAAAAAAAAAAAAATCAAAAATACAGTTCGCTTTCCTGTTTTTTTTCCCCCCGATAAACGAGACATATGTTAAAATAGTTGAGAAACATGTATTCATTAATGATGGGAAATGATTAAATTTTGCATTTTAAGAACTAGATTCATATTCTTAATGCGAAATTTTAAAACATTTTATGTCAGGATTATATTAAACCTTTTTACAAGAATTATTAAAAATTAAAATGCGAATATTAGTTAAGAATTCCTGCAGATTAAATTTAATTTAATTTTCGGATAATTAAAGTTTCAAAATCTAAATCTCGATTGAAATAGATCTTAAAAATACTTCCTAACACTGTAAAGCACATCTTTGTCATACGAATAAAGCAGATACTTTTCATATATATTCGTTTCTATTTGCTATCATTATAAAAAATCTTATATATATATATACGCTTCAGGTGGAAAAAGTTTTAAAAGTGCAAGAATAAGAAGGAGGCAGACCAATAAGCTTTTGAAATCAATGTAACTTTATGCTTCTAAAAGCTTATCTCTTAATGTAAGCGATTAAATTATTAATTTATTTAAATTGATCTGCAATTCTAGAAAGCTAATTAATGTTCTGCTGGATTTTTTTTTATACTGATTCATTTAAAGTTTATTGCTTTTAAGATCTCATAGTGAACACATTAGTGTCTTTCGTTCGTGCTGCTCATAAGGTAATAGACTCAGAGCTACGAAATTTGGTATATAGGTGCGTCTAGACAAGAGCCAGTGCACCTCGAAGCGATTTTCAAAATTCGAATCAGATTTCTTTTAATTTTATCTTTTCGATTTTATGGCATTATTTTGAATAGTTTCATTCTTTTAGAAATGGGTTTTTGACAACAGTTTTTCATTCAATTGTATACTGGCCTGCTGACTGTTGAGAATAAGCACTGTTGCCACTTGCGAAAATGAGGGCGATAATTCTGTGCAGTTTTTTAATTTAGTGTTTCTTTTCGATACTGGATGTTTGTTGAGAGAAGGCAACGGGAAGTTAGTTAATTTATTTATTAGGATAATTAATATTTGTATTAAGGGATATTGCTTATTTCGTTGTAATTTTGTTATATGTAATACTTTTTGTTTTATTATTATTATTATTATTATTATTGGATGAAGTTTGTGTGCAGAGTAAAATTCTGCGCAGTTTTTAAATTTAATGTTTGGTTTTCCCTTCAGGCATTTTTCGGTACATTTAAAAGCCAGACGAAGGCTGGCACATAGCTTCTAGTAATAAATGAAACTAAAAATAAAGAAGTCGAATATTGTTACATTTATTTAAAACAATTAGTAATAATAAAATCTGCTCATTTTCACTTGTCTCTCTAACTTTAAACGAACTTCATGAATTTATTTCAAATTTCAGTGTCCTTTTTCTCTAGTTTTGAGAGTTGATATAATTTTTTTCCTAGAAATGATCGAAATGTTTGTTTTTAATTCAAATGCCCCCGTAGCTTTCTTGCACAATGATACGGACGAATAATTTCGATTCTGATTGTTTTTTATAGTGCTGCCATCTGTTGCCAAAATATATAGTTTTAATCGGGATACAGAAATTAGCTATGATTAACGATAAAAATATTCCTTTAATTTTTTCTCTAGTTTTGATAGTTGATATAATTTTTTTTCCTAGAAATGATCGAAATGTTTGTTTTTAATTCAAATGCCCCTGTAGCTTTCTTGCACAATGATACGGACGAATAATTTCGATTCTGATTGTTTTTATAGTGCTGCCATCTGTTGCCAAAATACATAGTTTTAATCGGGATACAGAAATTAGCTATGATTAACGATAAAAACATTCCTTTAATTTTTTCTCTAGTTTTGATAGTTGATATAATTTTTTTTCCTAGAAATTATCGAAATGTTTGTTTTTAATTCAAATGCCCCTGTAGCTTTCTTGCACAATGATACGGACGAATAATTTCGATTCTGAATGTTTTTTATGGTGCTGCCATCTGTTGCCAAAATATATAGTTTTAATCGGGATACAGATATTAGCTATGATTAACGATAAAAATATTCCTTTAATTTAATCATTTATCATAAAGTACATGTATTTTATGATAAGCTCAGAACAGTACAGATGAATTACCTCTTATCTGATTATAGATGTCAATAAAAATATAATTTATTTGAAAGTAATTCCTCTCGTTTCTAACTTAATTTCACCTTTCTGCTCATAGATGGCACTACCACAGTGCATGGAACTTTAACTGATACTTTTGCTATAAAAGTTGGTCTTAACAGTTATAATTTGCGACATCTCCATGACAGGGTGCTAAATATTGAAATTAAAAGTGCATTAAGTTTTTGTGTTTCAGTTCAGTACCATGTAATCATAAGTACAGTGATACTTGTGCGAAATTCTTACCTTGCCTTGGAATTGCAACAGCATCTATTTTTCTGCCATTTTCCTCCTCAGCTCTTACATTCATGCAAAAGCATGACAATACCAAGAGGAGGAAAATTTCCATCAGTAACTGCTAAAAGGAAAAAACAAATCCTTACTAGCAATGTTACTACAAAAAAGAATTCAAAATTTCAACATACTTGACACAAATAACTTAATGGAATACTAGTAAGTACTAAACATTTCAATTAGGGTGGAAAATTATTAACCGTTAGAAATCCACATGTTGATAATAATACATCATAGTAAATAATAGAATTTGGCATTTATGACCCACCCTATTTTCAGTGCAAATAATTTGAAGGCTATATTTGTACACTATGATAAGATAACTCTTATAAATAAAAGCTTTTTGTTGAATAACTACTCCCTATTAAGAATAATGTGTTCTGTTATACCCATAGTAGCAGATGCAGCTCAAGAGCGAATTTTAAAGCTGTTTCTGCACTTTTAAAACGAGAACACTCAGATAATAATTTACATTCTATAGATTTTCTTTTTTGAAAACTAAGATCTTATGAAGGAAGATATTGAAATACTGAATTAGAATGTCTGTCAACTGTAGATGCTATACAACTGTAGATGCTATACATAAATTTTATACCGCCCAGCCGGTATAGTGGTTAGTGACCCTGATTGCTGTAACAATGGGCTCGGGTTCCAGTCCCGGAAAAGGCTGAGTTGTAGCTGTCCATCCCTTCATATGAGGCAATAGTAGTCACCTGTTGGGGACTTCCACAATGAAATGGCCCACTGCTTCCGGCCCTTGAAGCGGCGCAAGGCTAATAGCTATTAAATAAATCGTCCGGCCATTTAAAAAATAAATAAAAATTGTATTACTATTTGCATGGAAGTCATTTTATTGTATATATTTATAAGGTATTTTCTCCCCCTTTCATTTCTCCCCCTAGCATTTCTCACTTCTCATTAGCAAAGTGAAAATGAGAAGCATCAAGTGCAAATTCTTATGCCGATAAATATTCTTCTACAAAGGATTTAGTTAAAGAAACCTTATTCAAAGGATGATAAGGAAGAGAACATATGTATGAATCTCGAAATTAATGCACGAAAAAAGATAAACGCAAATTGATTTTAAAAGACTTAATGATCATTTATTTTATTGCAAACATCGTGTATTCACCATTAAGCTATTTTAAAATTTATGTAATGCATTTCAAAAGTATTTTTTAAAGCGATCTCTTGTGATTAGTATTGCTGTTAATTTAAAATTTAAGCTGCGATCAAGGCTGAATTTTAATACGTTACAAGGTATTTTTTCCGTCTTCTTAGCATACCTTCGTGGTGTAACGGTACCACACTCTGCGCGTATTTGAGAGGTCCAGGTTAGAATCCCTGCGAGGGCATTGCACATTTTTCAAGTTTTCTGCTTCAAAATAATACCTAATGTCTCTACATACTTATCATGCTAGGTAGATTGTTTCAATTTTCTTTAAAATTACCTATGTATGATTTTGTAATAAAATGGATGTAAGATTCTGTTAATATTAAAGTTGACATGTTAATCAGGAATTCCATTTGCAACCTTTGAGTGTATAAATTTATGTATTATCATTAAAAGAAATAGAAGATCATTAAATGCTGTACAATGTCTGTAGCCATAAATGTAAGAAAATTATTAATGCATTAACCATAAAGAAAGAAGTGCTAAATAAAATGGTAATAAGAATATATCTTACCACTAAATTACTTGAAAAAGTGGTCGTTGAATTTGGTCATACTGGCATACCCTTAATTCTAAATTTGTTACCTTTTCAATATTATTTAGCAGGAATATAATAGAAGATACTGGAAATCATTGCAAACATTGTAAAGTATGTAAATTTAATAATAATAATAATAATAATAATAATAATAATAAAAAAAAGAATTCGGTTGAATGCAAACTTTACCGCCCGTAAGTGAACCTTTCGAATTATTATCTATCGATACCGTTGGTGTTTTAAATTATTAGAATTCTACTAAAAAGTATATTAACATTGTTATATATTCCTGCTACTCGATATATATGGACTTCTGGTTTTAAAAGTGTAACTGTAGCGACATTAGCATTTTTGATGCTGAGAGATGTGAAAAATGAGCAATGCCCTTGCCTGGACTCGAACCTCGGACCTCTCGAATACGCGCCGAGTGTGCTGACTATTACTCTACGAAGGCATGCTAAGAAGGCGGTAGAAATACTTTATATACTCCCCTCCTTTAAAGGATGACTGAGGATTAGGGTACCCAATTGCCAAATTCTGGTGGTGGAGAATCGTCAGCCACCTCCATTTTTAGTTCGGGCGCCACTGTATAGACCTTAGGTTTTTTTTATGCTGAGAGACGTGAAAAATAAGCAAATCTTTCGCCGGGACTCGAACCTCTCGAATACGCTTCGAGTGTGCTGACCACTACACCAAGAAGGCATGCTAAGAAGGCGGGAGAAATTCCTACTGATAATTACATAAATTGATACTGATAAATACAATATTTTGTAGCCAAAGTTTTCCCATCTTATTGAATGTAAGGAAAATTACTATATGATATAGTAATAGAAAATCAAGGCCTGTATCTACCAACTGAAGAAGTTAAGAAAATTGTTCAAAAAAGGTCTGAGGATTACCAAAATATAAAAAAAAACGATATGACACCTATTTTAAGGCACATAATGCTATAGCTGATGATTAAGTAATGTACGAAGAATTTTAACGTCCTAATATATTAAAATATCAAAAAAGCTCTCCTCTTTTTTCTGGCATTTTAAAATAGTGTTTTGAGTTAAATTTTGAAATAGATAAACCAAAGTCTGTGACTCAAAAGAATTCCAAAATTGTGCATTCTATGAGTCTCATACCTTCTAATCGGGGAACTAAATGTAAATTAACCTTTAGAAATAGCAATAGTGCCTGTTGCTAACAGGCACTTATTAATCTGTAGTTTCTAAATGACTCATTGCAACTCCTTCAAACCCATATATAACTTTCTAACCCGACGAAGACTCTAATCCTAATCGGGATAAATTACTCCCGAATCTGTTTCTCTCTCAATATAGTTCCTTTCCTATCTTTTCTTTTTTTTCCCAGGGGTTTTCGTTTGAAATTTGTTGTCTACATTCCCCAAAGCCTGAAGATTAGGAGTGGAAAAGCTCTAAACCAATGACTACAATCTGACAGGAATACCAGAAGTTTAGTCTAAAATTTATATTGGGGATTCACACTATTTATATTCTCTTTGCATCCTTTCCTTAGAGAGTATAAAAGTAGTGATAGTATGCGTCCTTTTCCCGCCTAAGTATACTCCCAATATTAAAATTAATTTCTTAGAAGAATCAGCATGTTTATGAACTGGCTGAATGTTTCATCAGTCACATATTTATCTAGCCCTAGCGTAGCACAAAGTGTGCTATACACACACACTCTAAGTAAATTTAAAATTATTTTTATAGTATTAATGAAGGTTAATGTAAAATTTTTAAGACCTAACTTGAACATACAACTTATTAGTCTTAACTTTACGCGGTATTTAATTTTCGTATGCTTATGTTCATATTTGAAGTACGTAATACTGAAGAATATTATTTAAATAATTCATAATTCATAATTTGATATATTTATATAATGTTAAAAGCCAGTTACCTTGTATAACGAAGGAATGTTTTTATTTGCTATTGTATTTAAGCATTCCACAGCTATCAGCAAGTAGTTACGCTGATTTTTTAGCCGAGAACCTGAACATTTTTAATCAAAGTTTATTGTTTTCTTGTAATGTACTTTATTACATATCTATGTTTCTTAATTTATTAATTCCATTTAACATATCCTTATAACAAGAAAATATGGATTATTTTATAATGAGTAAATAAATATTTTTAACGTAATTCAATTAATATGTAAAATAAATGCTTTGGTTTTCTATTGAATACAATAATTTTGAAAAAGACTTTCAAGAGAAGGTCTGTAAAAATAACATGTTAAAATTAAAGCAAGAATTTTCAAGAATTATGAACGCTTACAATTATTACTTAAAAAATTTATTTCTCCAGATTTAGGAAAATCTTCATGATGTTGGTGAGAAAATTTGAAGAGCTTTAAGAGAGAGAAGGAACTCACAAATTTTTAAACTGGATTCTCCGTTTAGTTTATATACCATATAATGTTATGTTTTTGCGTCACTTCTGATTTACATTTTCATGTGTAAATTTTCATGTATTTATGCTTATATATGAGGCAGGTGAGAGAGATGATAAACAAAATAATAGGGAATAGTGAAAACTAAAGAAAATGTTTTTGAGAAAAATAATTTTTTTCTCTTTTTTGTCGTTGAATTCTATATATATTGTGGAAAATGTTTAACCGTATTTGCTAACGCTGCAATACTTTTTCCTAATATATTTTTCTATGCTCAAGCTTTTTTCTGTTTGAAGGGGGGAATGCAGGATTAAAATATGTAAAACAAACTTCCAATTTTAATTTCCAATAATCACCTTTATTCCTTATTTTACTTACATATTTCCCCTTTCTGTCCTAAAAATAGTAAGACGAAATGGGGTAATATGCAAAAACGAAAAATGAAATTTAAAATTTACATTTTTTTGCGATATCACCTGAAAGGGTTGGTGCAGCGAACTAAATAAATAAGTAAAATGATGTAGTTTGGATGTTCTGAACACAGTTGAATTTGGCATTCTTGTCGAAATACTAACATTGGTTTTAATTCAGATTAGACTGTCTAATTAGTTTTATATATCTTTTATTAACAAAATGGGCCTACTTCAGCTTCTAAGTCTCAAGAAATCTCGCTTGATGAGTTTTATATTTTGTAGCATTTGACATCTTCTTTAATTATCTGCCTTTAATCTCTTTTAGGTTATCTATAATTTATAGGAATTTTTCCGAATGCCTGTTTTGAGTTCTCTTAATCTACTCACAGTTTACCACACACAAATCTCTCGGCTTTTTTAAAATTCATTTATTTTTTATTCACAAAATATTTACTTAATTTTTCTAGTCTTTTAATTTTTTTCACTTCGCATTTTAGTTTTTAAAAATATTTTAATTATTTTGGCATTTATCCCTA